AATTATTATTTATATATTATTATATATATATTATTATATATTTATTATTATATATATATTAATATATTATCATTTTATTATTACTATATAATATTACTATTATTACTATTTGTATGTATATATATATCAATACATATGTATAGAGTGGATGTAGGGCTGTGCAAACACAGTTGACGACGTATGTGTATAGTGCGGCTGTGTAGATGGCTACAACGTATTGTGTTTGTCTATGCGTTTGATGAATTCGTGGACATCGCCAAGCCAATGAGTACTTAAGCTATAAGGCAATTGAATGTGAGAATGCGTATGTGAGTAAGCACTATCCATGCATGTATATGGTCACGTGAACACAGCTGGATATAAGAAGCACACTTTTCACCTCAATATTTAAAATGGGAACAGTTTGGGTTCGTACTATATCAGGATTAGTGGTGACATCCTCATCGATTCGTGTTATTATTGTCTCATCTGAGAATATAATTTCAAGCCTACGCGGAATAAGCTTTCTTCGCCACAAAAAAATGTAAGCACGGAATATGTGCGCAGCATAAACGAACTTGTAAACCCTTGACCCATACTATTCCTAATCTGACTGCGATAAGTTTATCTCACGCGGAATAGGCTCCCTTTACTACAAAATGCGTCAACACGGACTATTGACACAACATAAACGCACTTGCAATACCAGGAACAATACTTTTTCTAATCCATCTGCGACAATCTTGCCGGATAACTCAATATTTTCTCACCTGACGAAACAAGTTTATCCCACGCGGAATAAGCCTTCTTTGGCGCCGCCCCAGCCGGAGTCGCAGCGGTAGTCGCCGTCCCGGTTTTTCCCGTGGCCAAAGCGGTACCTGCGTTCACCATTGGCCCTAATGTGTATATAGCGCAGCCTTTTAGCATCCTCAATGTAATGTGTTGATAGTGAAGCATAATATCATTCTAACACCAATATTTATCTATGGATCTCTATAGATCTGGCACACTCCCTTCATCCTCACAATTAGAAGACATACTCACAGACAGCACGACACAATCACGAACAATACAGCAGACTCCTATACAGTACACACTTACAGCATGACAGCATACTCACATACAGTACACATAGTACAACATACCCCCATTCAGTGCCACATAACCAAAAACAGGATGACATAATTGCGCATAGTGCAACACACTCGCACAGCGTACGACATAGGAACAATAAGTACAACATGCCTACAAACAGTATGATATATAAATACTCTTACATACACTACGACATACTCACACACAGCAGGATATACCCACATACAGTACGACATGTTCTCAAACAATACGACATACTCACACATAGGACAACAAACTAACATGCCGTACAACATCTTCTCAAACAATACGTCATACTCTTGCCTCCCGCAATGGGAGCTCTGGGCGGGTGCGCATGGGTCAATGGCCGTTTCAACGTTGGTTTGGGCGGCGGTCGCTGAGCTGGCGTGCTCGTACTAGTGCCTGCAGTTGGAGCTCCCTGATGTGGCGTAAATGTAAGTATAAGAGTAAGTACAAGTGTATACAAGTAAGAACG